CCAAAAATCACAACTGTCCAGAGTCAAAAAGTACCATTTCTATTGGTTACACTAGAAATACCGAATAAGCCTGAAAAACAACTTCTTAGAGACGGTGGGACTCATACATCAGTAATGTGGTGGGCCTACCTAAATGTCATTTTTTAGAACTGTGCCGCTCAGAAACATCTCTGTTGTGGATAATTTCTGTAGATCACCAGATGATTCTTTACAGAGGGAGGGCAGAGGATCACCATTGACAGTTAAGGCCCCAGCAACATAACACTGGCTGTATTCCAGAAAGCTTATAGATTGTCAGCTCTGGAGTAGAAGGAAATTACAGTAAGGGACTGCACAACCTTTTCCATGTTAGCCGGGTCCTCAAGGAAAAAAGTCTATGGGTTACAACGCTGGCTATAGGAAGAGTTCAAGTTCCCAGATGTACACATGAGGGAGAAAGCCCAGAACTAACTGCAGGATGAAGACAGAGAAAATGGAGCACCCTCATTTTTGAGCTTCACAGAGATCATGATTCTATCTAGCTCTGTAAGAAATAGCTGTATTGGAAAAGGCACACATTTAGGGTTGTTAGTACTTCTTGCACTTTTTCTTTCTTCTTTACCAGAAAACTCAGTAGTCACAGTCTTACCTCTCCCCCAGTACATTTAGTTCAATGAGAAAATTTTGCAAAGTTTGGGAATGTTGGGAAAACTAGCAGGAGGAAGAACCTAACAATCATTTCATCAAGGAAAAACTTGTGGCTTAGGGTGTTAAACAATTCCACCAAAGACACAGAAGCAAAAGGTAAGTATACAAAATACTCAAAGACCCCAGTGAATGTCAAAGATTTCCAAGTACTAGGATATGCTAACATCAGAAAACAACCTATTTTTAGTGTGCGAGGTTGTTTTTGAGAATCATCATGCCATTGAACCAATGTTTTCCTATTATGGTTTTTTCCATTCCTCAGCAATTACTGATAATGATTGGCCAAAATATGCTCAACTAAAGGGAACACTAGTAGGTAGTAAGGTTGTGACAACCTGTTTGGGGAAAGGTCCACCTCTACCCTTTAGGCAGACAGAGGAAGAGAAAGATAAATGGGGAATAAAAAGGTAAATGCATTGGTCAAGGCCAGAGTAAAAACTGGTATCAGCCCCAAGAGAAAAATGCAGAAGTTGTAACTCTCAGCACTTATTGTAAACCACCAGCCATTCTCACTTCCCCTGACAACAGAGGTGACTTTTACCAGTGAGGGAAGAACTGGTTTCATAAACAATTATCAGAATAAGAAATAAGGGTGGAGTGCTAGGGGACCAAAACCATGGTGGATTGCTTTTCAACTAAATGATCAATGAATTTGTCCCTTCAGCATTCTACCAGACCAGTTCATACTAAAATCAAGTCAGCAATTATTGGTTGCATCAATGTAGCTGAATCTCTGATTCAGAAATACAAAAAGCTTAAGATGGAGAGAAATAAACTTGACCTGAAGAGTTAACTTTCAAAATATATAACCTGCTATATGAGCCAACAAATGAGCTGGGCAGAAAAGCAAAAGGAGATTTATTAGAGTTATTAATTGCCATATTATCAATATTATCATTATATAACACAGTAGCATGCGGGGAGCATTAGATGGTGTATTTTCCAAAGAGTTTCTGGCCAACTGGGTGAGGCAATGGCCTCCTTGAATCAAAACCTATTGCTCCTTAAAGCTTGCATAGCTGCCTTGATTAAACACAGCAGCAGGCTCCAGTTGAAGGGACAATTCTTTTTTTCAAGGGAGGTAGAACAGAGTAATTGCCAGATGTTTGCAATTTTAGCTATAAAAAGATGGCTGCTTTCCATTCCTGAGTATGTTGGATCTTTTTTTCTTTCTACCCAAGCTATTGTGGTTCACTAAAATAGGCCACTGCACTGATGAATCATCATTCAAAATGGCAATAATGGAAGCAGAACAAATATGACATTTTAAATTCACATATAAGAGAAATAAATTAAAATGTACAGGTAATAGTTATATGCTAAGCAACAGAAAAATGCTACAGTCTCAAAAACTCAATTTTGATTCAGAATCTGAGTTATGCTTGGATCTCCTCCTGACTACTTTCTTCCTATAGGACTAGGTGCAAGTAACTTCATTGTCAAGGCTTAATCCCCTCAACTGTAAAATGGGGTTAGTATCCCCACCTGGCTTCCCTTGCAGCAGGAAGAACCCATGCCCCATTTATCTCCATGTCCTACCTTGCACATGTGCAGCCCAGAGATGTGCAAATATTTGTTGTTGAAAAGGGAGGGAAAATATATGCATGTGTTTAGAAGACATATAACAATATGACATATCATGATAGAACTGTGTGTAGACACTATACATTATATTGTAAGTACAAGGTATTTTCTGATGTAATTATTAGAACCATCGCCATTGCCACAACCAAATATTCAGTTCTCTCTTCCAATTCTGTCTACTAAATTTAGTAAAAAGAGAATGGAAACCTGTTCTTTATTTAAGCAGCACCAATATAACTGGCTTGGGAGACTGGTGTCCCCTTAGGCAAGGGGTGTTATCTTTCTTAATGAGTGACTTAAGAATCTCTTTGAGGGTTTGATGACATATGAATCCTTTTCCTGGAAAAGACATACACATGGGCCAAGTCTGAATACAATTTCAGGAGATGGGCTAAATTTCAAGTATAAATCCCAGAAATGAAGAAGACCCATGATAAAACCCCTAAATAAACTATTTTTTCTGCTATTATGTAGTTAATAATATCCCTCACTTTGTCATTTGATATTTAGGAAAATTAAAGATTTAAAAAATAAATGACTAGTTATTAGCCTACTTCATATAATGTTCATCTACATTGTTAACTGCAAATAAAATACAATAATAAAAATATTACCTCTCAAAAAGATACTATAAACTCAAATCCTTCCTATTTCCACCTTGACACAGATGAAGTAAAATAGAGCTCTTTGCAAGAAAGATGTTATGAAAATTCAAAAACTAGACAGATTGATATGTCATAATTCTAGCAAACCAGTCCATCAGGCAAACCAGTCCTGAAAAGTCAAGCAACAAATACATTATCATAGTACAATAGAAGCATAAAACAAAGATAATCTTTTAAATTGGCAATATGAACTATATTTGGGCACCTATGATTTTAAAATCTGTGGATTAAAAAAAACTATGAATTATGACTCCAGAGGCAAAGTTGGTATTTTAATTTTAATCACAACAACAACAACAACAAAGATAGCAGTATCCATTGATCTATTCATTCTTTTGGGCCAGGTGCTATGCCAATCTTATCACTTCATTTAACATTCAAAACAATTCTTTGAGATATACATCTCTTACTTTAAAAGTGAGTAAAAATGGAAAGAGCTTAGGTAGGCACTCAACCTGGTGGGGCACGGTTCCCAAAGAAATTAAAGGGTGAAATCAATCAAAATTTGAACACAGAACTCTCTGGTGCCAGAGTCTACATGCTCAACTGCTGCCTCCCCCAATTTTCTCCTCTTTGCAATCTTCCAGTGTTATCTTGGCCCCAAGTAAACACTTCCTTCTGACTCCTCTGATGGAGTTAATCTAGAATTACTTCACAAATAGAGGCTTTAATTAAAGCTCTATAGTGTGAGTTAGACAATCATCTTCATATGCAAAGTTCCTAATGAAAATGTAAACTTCTTCAGGACTAAAATTTGCTTCTAATTTTTGTTAACTATTATATATAACCTTGTTCAATAAAATATCATGAGATGCATCTGAATTGGCCCCAATAAAGTCACCAAAGTTAAGTGTAGAGGTTGAGATATGGAAAAGCAATATCTGTCTACCAGGGACCCTATCAGCTGGGCATGAATGACACTTCATCCTCCTTTTCAATGGTGACATTTCTAGGTACACATAATATTACTTAAATGTTTCTTTTCCAGCAACTAACTATTATAGAGAAAGCACAAAATAAAACTGAAATAATTGTAACATATATGAGCAGAAAAAACTCCAAATTAAATATCATTTTAAGGTCAAAAAACTTGTCAGTGATAACTAAAAAAGTTTAAGCAATAAGATATAACAGACTTGCATTAATAGAGATATCAAGTGCTTATTCCATATGTTTTCTGAAATGTTTCCTTGGTAGTGACTTCTTGAGATCACAATGGCTGACTTATATTTTCATATATCATATGCATCCATGAACAGATGAATCCTAAATAATTTTCAAACATTACTTAGATTGCTAATTTTCAAACAGCTCTGAATGGCAACCACTGGGGGAAATACTACAGAGAAATTTTTCTTTCTTTTATTAAAAAAAATTGAGATTCAGTGTAATGTTGAGATAAAGCTACAGACTTGGATCGGGAGATAGGCTCAAATTACAGCTTTGCTCTGTGCTAGATTTTCACACTGTGTACATTAAACCCTCTACAGATGGAAGGGTGATGACATCTTTTACAGTGTGACTGGAAAGATTAGGTAAACAGTAAAGCAAAATGGACTTCAGATGCAAGAGAGACTAATAAATCCATGAAAACGTTTTTCAAATCCTTCAAACACTGTTGCACTAGAGAAATTGTTTAGTTAAAACTCAAAATCAATGATTAGGGGCTGAGGTTGTAGCTCAGGGGTAGAACACTTGCCTAGCATGTGTGAGCCTGTGTGGGTTTGATCCTCGGTGCTGCAAAAAATAATAATAATGCTTTTTTATTATATAGTGTTTAGTTTACATTACCAAAACATAAGGGAAAATATTAAGACAGTTAAAAGAGGCTTCTCTGTTTATTAGCCTCATGGTGGATCCTCTGAATCTCAGATTTTTATTTGTGTCTTGGAACCATGATAATGTAGGAACTATAATGAAATTACAGGACACACTGGTGATAGAACTAGATATGTGAGAAAGTGCTCTGAAATTACTCACATGTATGCACATGTACACATACATATTTAAAGTTATAAATATTTCATAATAAAATCCTTATTTCTTTGCTTCCTGTTTTCTCAGGGTCACCCCAAAGTGTGGAGAAGTAAGAAACAGAATAACAACGAAAAAAAAATGTTTAAGTTGGCTCCATCTCAAATTCTTCAGGGTGTTGTGTTTGACTAGGTAAAAAGGATGACCTGAGATCACTTCAAGAGAATACTTTATTCCTCCTCATTGCCTTAGCATTTATAATGTACAGAAACATTTCATTCTAAAGCACAAGAGATGACTGAGGAGAGATGGCAATGATACTTGGAGCCAAAACTACAAGGACAGTGCCTCTTGCCCATACTCCTACATAAGTATTCCCTTGTTTGTGGGTCCTTCCACTCTAGCTACCCCACTTCCTGGAGCTATTCCTAGAGGTGCCCATGAGAATGTCTGGATCTACCCAGAGTGAAGTCATCCTACTCCCCCTGCAGAGCTGCTCCCAGGAGAACACAAGCACTCCTTGAGGACATTAGCAAAGAGCTGCTGAAATCACAAGGGTCACAGTGGACTCCGTTCTTGGCTTCTGTGCATGCTGTTCCTATTGCTTGGCATGTCAAGCTGTCCACTGCCCTTTTCTGACAAACAACTCATTCTCCAAGACTCAAATCAGACATCCCTTCTCAACAAAATTCTCCCCAGTTCTTCTCATAAAACATCCTTCATTATCTATTATGGTGCTAAATTTTCATGATGCATGAGCAGTGCCTGTTATGTGTCTATCTTGACCAGCAGACCAGCTATTCTGTTTGAAGACAACAACATATAAAACAATGCAGAGAGCAAGTCATAAGAGAGAATGATGAAAGGGCAAAGTGCTAGGAGCCCCGGGGCACCAAATCCCAGGGATTTGCACTCATCCATCCTAGGTGCTGTCCTTGGCTGTCTAGTCTCTGACTGAAGTAATTTTAAGGAAGGATTAAAAAAAAAAAAGTCAAGAGTATGGTGTTTTTTATTAACAGTTCTCTCCTTAGGTCAATCACTGTTTTAGGCTATAATTTCTTTATATGGTATATTTGCCCACAGGCTCAGGTGTCAGATTTATTTTTATAATATCCACAATACATTCATTTATAGATGATTTACTTAGACCTGCCATGACCCAAATTGACTGAGATTTCAGGCATCGCTACCTGAAGTAACACAAAAGCAAGTGCTCTATAATATAGAAAACTGAACATCTTGTGGGACACTCTAGAAGAATTGATCTTTTATTGTTCTTGTTTTAAATATTCTTTCTTCTGTTTTTTTTTTTGTTGTTGTTGTTGTTGTTGGATCCTAAATAAAAGTCTTTTGGACAACATATGTAAACAAATGATGTCTGAGATGAAAGCTCAAAGGGAAAAGTATAACAATGTGAGACTGTTTTGAGTCCCTGAATCTCTACATTGTACACTTATAGAACTATCAAAAGAAAACTGTCCTTTCAGAGAGAGAAAACACCCAGAGGACCTAGAGAAGGTTCACAGAGCAGTGAGCACTGGTCCTTGGAGTGAATGAAGTAAAATAGTAGTGACCAAATTTGGGTTAGCATCAATCAGAGGACCTGGGAGTGTTATTTTGTTCTGTTTTGTTTTGATGCATATTTGTTAAGTCCACGCACTGAGATTCTGAATCTGAAGGACTGAGATGATATTTAGGACCTATATTTTGTTTTTTTAACATTCCTAAGTTTTTCTGAAGTCTGGTTAGCTTGGAGAACCTGTACTTGGAGATGCTGTACATTATAGCAGTGATCTTAAAACATACAAGCAATTGAAGTTGCAAAAAGATGGCACTTTAAGAAACTGCATATATTTCATTATCTTGCTGTTATTAAAATTTTCATTTTGAAACATAGACTCATAGAAAGTTCCAAAAATAGTACAGAACCCCATGTATAGTTTACTCTGGTTCTATATAGCTATAGTGCATCATCAAAACCAGAAAACTGACCCTGTTACATTACTGTTAACTGGACTTCTGCCATTGACATGGTTGTGTGTATAGCTCTAAACAATTTGATCCCATGTATAGGTTCTTGTAATTATCACCCCAGTCAAGATACAGACCTGTTCCACCACCAAAGTCTCCTGTTGCTTTCTCTTGATATGAGGGCTCACTTTCTATCCCACTCCTCCATCTCTGTTCTTTAAAAATCACTCATCTGTTCTCTAACTTTCAAGTTCTGTCATCTCAAGAATGTCCCATACATGAGATTATACAACATAACAACCATTCGAGATGGATTGTCTTCTGTTCAGCTGAATGCCATCAAGATCATTGCAGGTTTGCTTATGTAACAACAGTTCTTTCCTTCTTTATTGATGAATACTACCATTCCATTCTGAGAACACACCACCAGATTTAAACACTTGCCCACCGGAAGACATTTAAGTTGTTTCCAGTGTTTTGTCATTATAGAAAAATAGTTGCTATAAACATTCACATAAAGGTTTTCATGGAAACATAATTTTTTTT